GGACTTTATTATGCACAGCAAAAGCAATAGCCAGAGTTTCTTGTTCATTTATGTCAGTTACCCATCTTCCCCAAATCCCAGGGAAGTGATGTACAGGGCGCATCATGAGTGGGTTGCATTATAGAACACTAAGAATTACCACTTTATAGCAAGTGGAAGCAAGCCTGCTTTTTTTCTTGGGGGCAACATTACCTCATCTCTCAAGGTTGCTTGCAACGATGTGAACGCAACCCTGAGAAATGGCCCAGGTAAAGAGCAGTCAAGAGGTTATATTCTTGGCATACTCAGCAAGAACATGCATTTGGGGTCTATGGCAGATTGCCTCTCTCACAATTCACTCCTCAGCCTGACACATCCTTGGCCAAACTCGGATACTTACACAAGTATGTTGCTCTAACAGGCACTCTCATTAATCCTAACAGAGAGGCAAGAACCAAATCCACTCACTTTGTCTCATACAACATTTAATTAAGGTTATTATCAATAAAACCCCAAGCAGCAGATGAAGGCAACCTACAGTATTGATCTCAGTCATGCTCTCCAGGGTTCCAGACAGCTAACTGTGGATAAGTCCTGGAGGGGACCAGTAGGAATTATTTTAGGCAGCCACAAAATATTTTGCCAGGCTATTAATTCATTATGTCCTGCACAAGGGAGTTTAAGCTGATCTGCTAATCTTGGTGTCCTTGTCAATAATTAAAGGGACAATAGATGGGCCAAAAAGCAACTGCTGTCTCTAATGGAGAGACATCTCATGGCCTTTTTCCCCCCATACAAAAATATAACCCCAGAAGGCATGAGCCACTTCAGTTTGGGATTTGTTAAACCTGATTTTTAGCATCACATTGGTTGTCTCATGGACGGTGTCACAAATAGCTGCAACTTCAGTTGCCATATGTGGCATTACCCAAGACCACTCAGACATTGAAAGCATGTGACTAGACTGAATCGAGGTTGTGTCAATCCTTAATGTCCGTATACATTTGAATTTGGAAGCTGCTGTTGATGGCGTCAGGCCCAGCAGAATAGTACAGGACCAATCATGTCTATACAAGTTTTTGTTTTCCTAGCACAGGGGCGAGGATGAGAAACCCAGCAGCAGGTCAGAATGTTAGCTGAAGCTGCCACTCACAGGTAGTGGTTTTGGACCACCGCAGGGAACATTTGGCAATGTCTGAAGACATTTTTGTCACAACTGGGGGAAGGTGCTACTGGTGTCTAGAGGGTAGAAGCCAACAATACTGCCAAATATCCTACAATGTACAGGACAGCTTCTCACAACGAATCATCTGGCCTAAAATATCAATGGTGCCAATGTGAGAAACCATGACCTAGGGAACAAATTGTGCATTGTTTCCCTTCCCTCATTCCTGAGGCCTAAGATGTTTTCTCCCCATGTGCCAAGGTTGTTACTTTCCCTCCGTTGCCACGAAATTGGTACCTATAACTTAAACTTTTCTCCAATCATCCCCTTTTTTCACCTAGATCTGTTGTATTCTGTGACCCAAAAACCTTACTCAGATGTGTGGAACAGGAGGAGGTGAGGCGGTATAGTTAGAAACTTCTTTAATATGCAACAATACTGGATATCTGTAGATAGTAGGGAGCATGAAATATTCATCAAATAATATCATTTTTGGCTCATTGTTTAGTGGCCCCTGTGACAAAAGGTGCCCCACTGTCAGACTGCAAATGGTCTGGAAAACTAAGAACATGACACATTAAAGAGCTACGATTCTGTGGCCAAAGTCAGATGATAAGACTGCAACAACAACATCATAATCTAAAAATGTGTCAACAGCAGTGAGATACTATTAATTGTCCTTGGAGGTGGGGAGGGGTGTGCAAAGGTCCAATGAAGAATGAAGTCAGTCTGCCAGGAGCAAGTGGGGCCAATGCCCTGTACAATATGACCTCACTTAC